ACTCTGGTGCTCTTGCAGTGTTCCCAGGAGCCCCTGGGGCTCTACTCTATCAGTAAGCGCTGTTCTCCCTGTCTTGTAATTGTCAGTGCTTGCTGTTCTCCCTGTCTTGTAATTGTCAGTGCTCATCTGTGTCTCCACACCCAACCGTGAGCTCATTGAAATAGGAAATCTGACTTGGTTCTCCAGTCCCTAGCACCTAGTACAGGGTTTGTCACACAATAGTCCTTCAGCAAAGAACTTTTATAAGCAATAAGCAAATGAGCCTCACTTTGGTTCAGAGAGACAGCGGAAGCTTTTTGGGCCTTGCTAACTTTCATGGAGCTAAACTGAGTGTTTAATAACATTGAACTTCACCTTACTCCTCTGAGGGAAAAAGCTTCATAGAAGAGTGATTTTTGAACTTTTTTTTTTATCTCATAGCACATATCAACTAATTACTAAAATTCTGCAGCACACCAAAAATATATATTTTTTCTCTCTGACAAAAATAGGTATGATTTTGATTCATTTACACTGGACGGCTATCATTGTGTTGGCTGTTGTTATTTTTCTAGTTTGACAATGTGAGGGAAAAGAGGTCAGTGCCCCTGACTAAGTAGTCAGGGATGGCATGCTTTAAAAATCCTCACAGCACACGGTTAAACACTGCTGCAGAGAAGAATGCAAGAGCAGAAAGAGCAGGGCTAACGCCTGGTTGTTTTTGCCCCTATGTATTTTTTATATTCCTGCATTTCTCCACACATGGTCACATCTGGTCATTGCTTCTCCAACATCTTTCTTGGATACTTTAGAAACTAGTTTAAAGTAAAAAGGAACAGGTTACATAAGTAAATAAAAAGCCTAGTTTTGTATGTCAGTTGTATTTTTCCCACCTCCAGCATATGACTCCAGTTTCACTAACAGAGCTAGAAGTGTGTGTGTAATGGGTGTTAAAATTGTTTCAATAATTGAAAAGTAAACATATGATTGAACAAACATAAGTAACTTTTATGTTGCAATACATAAATGGATCTCAGGAATGGTCCTATAAATCTGAAATATGTAAGAGCCGATTTTTTTGTCAAGAATTTAATAATTTTAATTTCCTAAGATACTATTTAACTTATATAGATTTATAAAAGGGAAATCACCACTCTGTGGCCACTTTGGAATCTTGTCTACACCTTTGATCAAAGCATAACTCCTCTTGGAAGATGACATTTTTTTTTAGACCCTCTAGAATGAGATCTTTCCCTGTTGAATATACAGGGTCAAGCACCAATAATGTCCCTTTTTGTTATAAAATCATAAGCATGCAATTCTGTGACATAACAATATCACATTAAGCACACTATGTGACATTTTAGGTGAAATGTTCAAATTGAAACTATAAATTATTACACCTCTATTATCACCCTACCAACCACAGTCAAGCAGGTCTTCCTTCTGCAGGAGTATGTTGACTTATTTCATGTAGACTCTGCTTTCTGTTGACACCCCTTGGGTAGATCCATCGTGTGTTCAGCTTGATAAAACTGAGCCCACCTATTGGAAATCTGACCCTAACTTTCTCAAGTATCAGTTTCTTTAAAATTATCCATTTAATTATAAAAATAACAAACAGAACCCATGGGGAAAATAATATGCGATTATCTTAACATAAGTTATAATATTTTTTCAAATGTTCCCTTTTGATCTTTTTACATGTACATTTTTTATATACTTGTATATCATAATTTATGAACAAGTTTGCAATTTCCTTAAAAAAAAACACCTAGTACTGATTCCTTTAAAACATTTGACACAGACTGAGTCTCTAGAAGAAAACACCCCCACCCCACACTTTTTGATGCTGGTGTGGGACTATATATAATACAGTAACTAAGAGTATCACCAATGGCCTTCTATTGTAGACTGCACTTGGACAGCTTGCAGTCACCCCAAATTTAAATAGTGATGTTTTTACTCTCCTGAAGGGAAAATTAATTTTGCAAAACAGGCAGGGATGAGGAAATGGAAGGGGCCCATATAAACCCTCCCCACCGTCTAAGAGGCTGAGCCTTTGCCTGTGTAAGTCACACTTAACTAGGTGATGGCAGCTTGCATGTATCCTTGTGGTTAGGTGTTAACCTAGATAATATTTACTTTTCAAGACTCATATAACTTGCCATTTCATTCAGAGGTCAATATTTATTTTCTGAAGTGTCTTCCTTTCAGAGAGGCTCAGCATTAGACACCTGCTGATAAAACTGACAGTTTATTAAAGACACAATGGGAAGGCAGTGAGTTATTACACGCACTCTTCGCACTCTTCGCAAGCGCCAACATAAGTCTCACTTTGGATTGGGCGCTCTACTGCTGGCCGAGTGGGTGGACTCCAGTGCTGGCTCTTAACATTTGCATGTCTTTGATTTGGTAAAGCAGGGCCCATGACAATGACTTCTTTTGTCACATGGTAGGTAGTTAGATATGCAGAGCTTCTGGAAATAGTGCAGACTGGAATGTATTTTGGATTGTGCCCATCAACAAGAGGATAATTTGCTTGTTTTTAACTTATGGCTGACCAACCTCCCCTCCCCCTCCTCCCAGCCACTTAAGGGCCCCCTCTCCAATTCCCAACCATCAGTAAGGGTATGTCGAGGGGATGACAATTTATCATAATATCAGAACAAAACACGGTCTGGAAGAAAAAAATGTATATTACACAGAAATGTTCTTTCACTTAATCGCCGCGTGGTTCTTCTCAATACTATGGATAACAAAAATCCACCCAGACTGCTTTTAGCCTGATTTCAGACAATACTGTTGTGTTTTCGGGTTTCAGCTCCTCCTCATGAATACTTAATATGTTTTTCATGGGAGGGGTGGTGGTGAGGAGTGTGAAGATGACAGGAAGACGTCTTCCAGACACAGCACCAGAAGGCTGCTGTCAGATGCCCCAGAAAGGAAATCCAATGAAAAGGGCAAGGTTGCCATTTTATTTTTATTTATTTTAAAAATGTTATTTAGTTATTGATTTTAGAGAGAGAGAGGAAGGGGGGAGAGGGAGGAAGAGACATATCAGATTTGTTATGCGTTCACTAGTTACATGTGCCCTGACAGGAGTTGGAACCCGCAACCTAGGTGGTGGGGACCACGCTCCAACCCACTGAGGAACCCGGCCATGGCACCATTTTATTTTTAACACGGAGCCTGGCTCGTGGTTGGGGCTCAATATTGATGGCTCGAGAGCTTCTGGTGCCCAACTATGCGCACATGGGCCGCGTGGAAGAAGTTTGACACCATGTCATTGGGCCCTAGGGAACACTGGTCTGTAATTAAGACAAGACTTCCACACAGCAAGATTAAAGGTAAACCTTAGCCGTCAGACCCCCTAATTCCAGTTACCCTTAATTGCAGGGGAAGCTCGGCCACCCGAGCCTCCACCCTCTAGCCCAAACGCCGGGTCCACCCCCAGCTGGCGAGAGCGGAGCGCTTGGCTCGGTGAAGTTACCAGCGTAGCGCAGACGCGCGACGGTCTCTCCCCCGGCGAGCCCAGACGGCGGCGGCCCGGCGCTTCCTGGGGCGCGCGGGCGCCGGAGCTCGCAGCGGCGCGAGGCCGGAGCGCGGCCCGGCGGGGCGGGGGAGGGGCGGCGGCGGCGGCGGCGGCGGGGCCGGGAGCGTGCGCGCGCACCTCACACTCCACCGCCCGGGGACGCCCACTCGCGAGTCCCGGCCGTCAGGCCAGCCCGCGCCCTGGCGCCCCCTTCCCCCGCCCCCAGGCTCCCTCTCCGGCGTGTGCCTAACGGGTGTCGGTCCCCGGGCGGGCGGCGCTCTCCGGGCGTAAAGCGGCAGGGGCGAGGACCGGGTCGCAGCCCCGCACCGCGCGGACGCGCCGCCTCACCCGCAGCTGCCGTCAGAGCGATCCGCCGCGAGGGACCCGAGGCTGCACGGAGGAGGGCCTGACGGCGGTCGGCTGCCGGCCGACCTCAGCCAGCCGAGGCGCGGCTGCTCCCGCGCGCCCGGGGCCACCTCCTCCCCAGAGCCGAGCGAGGAATGAGCAGGCGCCGGCCCCGGGCTCTAGGACCGAGGGGCCGCGGCTCGGCTTCTCCCCACGCCGCGGAGCCGCGGGGGCTCGGTCGCCGCGACCGGGCGCGGCGCGGGCAGCGGCGGCCTCGCTCGGGGGACAGGCGCCGGGGTTAACTTCACCGGCCGCGAGGAGGAGGAGGAGCAGGAGCCGGCGGGGGCGGCCCCGCGCGCCCTCCCCCTCACACGCCGGGGCTTCTCAGTGGCCGCCCGAGGAGGAAGTTCCGCTCCCTGACAGAGCCGTGCGGTAGCAACAGCGGCCGCGGCGGCCGCGGCCGGGAGGGCGCTGGTACTTGGGACGCGGATGCCCTTCGCGCCAGCCGTCCCTGGGGCAGCGCCGGAGCTCTGGCCGGAGCCGGGAGCCGGGGGGCTGCGTCCGGAGGCGCGGGCGTCGGGGGACCTTCCGCCACTTCGCCCAGCGCCGCTGCTTGGGCTTCCTGAGGAGGTGGGAGACCGCCCTCCTTGTTGGCCGGCTTCCGAGGAGCCCCTGATTTTTCCATCACTGCGGTTGAGCGGTTCTGGAATCGAGGCAGAAGAGGAGGTGAAGTGGACCTTCTACAACTCCTCGGATCTGGCCAGGCCCCCTTCGGGGGCGGGAGACCACGCTGGAGCATCCACTGGGGTGCAGGAATGGAAGAACCCACCTTGCATCTTCTCTGCGGTGTTGCTTGCCTGATCCACCCTTAGGAATGAGAAGGACACTTTTAAGAACCTCGATGAGGTCCTGAAAGCCAAATGGCAAAGAAGATTCCACAGGACAGAAACTAGTGATCGTCTGGGGGGCCACACACGTTTCTGAATGTAATTGGACAAGCGTGGAAGAGGTGCCCTATTAAAAAGCACAGCGATCCTTGACGAGGAGAAAAATTGAATTTCCCCACTTTTTGCCAAGATTTTCAAGACTGTCCAATGTATTGTACATTTAATGTAAGATAACAGCTTTATAAAATATTCTGTCCAAGAGCGTAAACGATGACTACCCCAGCCCTGCTGCCCCTGTCTGGACGAAGGATACCACCCCTGAACTTGGGGCCGCCTTCCTTCCCACATCACAGGGCTACCCTGAGACTTTCTGAGAAGTTTATCCTCCTCCTTATTCTAAGTGCCTTCATCACCCTGTGTTTTGGGGCATTCTTCTTCCTTCCAGACTCTTCAAAACACAAACGCTTTGATCTGGGTTTGGAAGATGTGTTAATTCCTCATGTAGATGCCAACAAAGGGGCTAAGAACCCTGGAGCCTTCCTGATTCATGGACCCGATGAACATAGACACAGGTTTGTTTATTTCAGAAGTTCTGGTATTAACATTTGGCAGAGCAAGGTATGGTTTATTGCATCAGATATCTCTTTTGCCTCCCCCACCCCCACCCCCCGCAGTAAAATGTAATTTTCCTAGTCCTGAGACTTACTTCAAAACTGGTTGAGTAGAACCATAGAGTGAAAGGGCCCCTAGAGCCCCATCTAAAGTGCAGCTCCTTTGTTTTATATGGGAGAAACATTTGTGTCCGGAGGTAACCTAAAGAAAGAGTGACATATGTTGTGCCTTCATTTATTAAGAAGGTGTTGCGTTCAGTCGTTGTGCCACCCAGTGAAATAGGTGTATTGAATCCTGACAGCTTCTATGGGTTTGGCGAGTAAGTATTAGAGGATAGTCTGTTAAAGGGTTCACATTCTTCCAAATCACCAAATCTGAAGTGCGCTGGCTCTAGGGAGAGTTTGGCCAAATTAGGATAAACTGGGAGCTCTGGTTACAATATTTTTAAGTCATTTGTGTAATTTGTATCAAAAGAGTTTGGGAAAGTAGTTTACTTTCCTTAAACCTGCACTTTTTTAAATCTGCTAAATCTTTCCCCTCTTTTCTCTGTTTCTTACCAAATAATTTTGAGTATGTGATAAATGTCATATGCTTGAATTGTTTTCAATTGACATTAGTTTTAACTTCTTATCAAGCAGGAAGTTTTGGAGAAAGCTTCGGTTCAAATGTGAGCCTAAGTTAAATACTTGGGAAAATGCACTGTTGTAGCAAGAGCTGTTTTTTTTCCTTTTTCCTTGATCTTGTTAATTTATTATTTCCTTTCCGGTTCTTTTACTTTTGGCTAAACCTTATGGAATAATTCTAACATTGTTTCATGACATTCTTTTGTAACTAAATTATTTTGGATTTTTGCCATAATTTTCAACTTCTGCACTCTTTTGTGTTTGTTTCCTTTATTTTGCCTTTTGCTCTTTGTGACTTGAAGAAAAATATGTTGTGGTCTGTGAAATATGTTGCTGAAAATTAACACTGAAAAAACTTGTTTTCCTTGAAAATCTTATTTCCCAAGGTATTTATATAAGCTATGATAAGTAGTTGAAAAAAATTTTTTGAGCTCTTTGATGGCCGTGTATTAACATTATTTAACTCTGCCCAATGCTAAGCAGTTTCCCTTATATTTTAAGTGTGGTCTAAAGGTTAAAAATATATATGGCTTATATATATTTAACCTTCTAGTTTAAAAACAGTCAAATAGAAAAATTCTCAGTTAAGTGGAATTAAGATTTAAAATTTGAATGAAAATACAGATATTTTCAAAATATCACATTTTTAAAATGCACGTTTTTAAAAGCCTACTCAAATCTCTTAAGAGTTCTGAAATTTATATAGCCTGTGAGCACCTGTGTTAGTGTATTGCTATCCAGAACTATTGGGTTCCTGAGTTTTCAGTGAGAGATTGATTATTGAATTCAGATAGCAAGGGGTAATAAGTGAGCCAAATCCTGAGTTTTGGGTAGTGAGAGTCTGAGTAGCAAGTGATACATATGAGAATTTATTGAAATCTCTCTGGTTCCTGAGTTCTGGAAAGCGAGAATTCAAATAGAGTTCAGGTAGCAAGGGATCTCTGTGCATAAATTTCTGGGTTTTATCAGTTATTTTTATATTTGCTTAGTGTGTTATCAGTTGTTGCTTAGCCATATCTGAAAACACAGGCTATAGTGATAAGAATTCTTGTAATTTGAGCAATGAAGTGCATTTCAAATTATAGATTATTCAGACAGTAAGCTCAAACGTAAGACATAAAACATCAAATCCAGTTAAAAATTAACTTATTTAAAAATAATTCAGAAAATAGCATTTTAACAGAATTAGTTGGTACTAAGATCATACATAATTTGGGTGTGGGTCAAAAAAACTTAATTTGGAACATATAAATTGATAATTTAATTTTGTATGTATGGAGAAAAGTACAGGATAGAGGGATGAGGGTAAGTTAAATCATGGCCATTATTTTTAAAAAATATTTTATTTATTTATTTTTAGAGAGAGGAAAGGAGGGAGAAAAGGAGAGAAAAACCACGATACGTGAGAGAAATGGTAATCAGTTGCCTTTCGCATGCCCCCAACCAAGGAGCTGGCCCACAACTCAGGCATGTGCCCTGACTGGGTATTGAACTGGGAACCCTTTGGTTCACAGGCTGGCACTCAGTCCACTGAGTCCACAAGCCAGTACCCATTATTTCTTATTCAAGGTAATTAAGGGATACTTTTTGAATTGGCTTTTCTTTATTAATGAATTTGTTTATTACATTAGTTAAGTGCTTAAGCTCTGGAGTTAGGCTATATGGATTCATACCCAACTTTGTTACTGATTAGAATTGTGCTCTTGAGTAGATTTTTAAACTTTATACCTATGTTGCTTCCTCTGGATGACAATGGCATCCATTGATACTTTACAGATTATTATACTGAATGAGATAGTTCATGCAAAGTTCTTAATTCTTAGCATTTAGTAAGTGCTCAATAAATATTAGCTATTATTATTATGAATGATTATAGTTTTAATTGAATATTTTAATTCTGAGTCTTATCTTTAAATACTGTACATGTTTCTGAAAAGTTGGGTGCAGATTAATATTTTAAAAGCACGTCAGAACCTTATTGTGTAAAGGAACATTGTATAACCAAACTAGTTAGCAACAAGTGTGTATTGTGTGTCTACCGTGGTCAGACCCTCCCTTTATGGACCATCAAGGGGGGTGATGTGCATTAAATGAATAAATTTAATTTTGAGGTGTGATGAGTGTTAGCAAGTTGTTCTCGGTGCTATCAGAGCACACATTGTGTGATTTAGCCTGTGGAGGCCCCCGTATGGGGGTGGTGGGTTGGGGGTGGCATTGGAATAGGGAAGGCCTCCTTGAGGAAGCAATGGCTCAGACACTGAGAACAAGTAGGAGATCTCTGAGTGAAGTAGAGATGTGGGGGAAAAGTCAGAACAGAGGACACTGACGTGTGTGAGCCTTTAGGTTAAAAAAAACTTGGCATCATGGAGGATTTGAGAAATATTCAATATGGCTGATGTAGAGATTTCAGTAGGGTGCTAGGTGAAGAGATTAGAAGGGAGATCAGATTCGGCCTCTTTATTGTTTGAAAAGTTTGAGTTAGCTGACAGCATTCACATATCAGGAGATTTCATGTAAAAGTCTGGACTTCTGATTTCTCCTGGAAAATCAGAGGTTATGGTGACACCCAAGTTCGTGTTTTTAGAGGGCAGCACTTAGCTGAATCTGGGCAGCAGCTACTGTCTCTGGAGGGACATGTGCTTCTCACTTCATACCACTCAATTAAGTTGCCAGAGAAGTAAATCTAATGAATCAATATGTTTTTAAAATATTTTATTTATTTATTTTTAGGGAGGGGGAAGACAGGGAGAAAGAGTGAGAGAGGCGTGGATCCGGTTGCCTCTCTCTCATGCCCCTGACCTTTGGCCCAACCAGCAACCCAGGCAGGTACCCTGACCAGGTATCCATGGGCAACCTTTCACTTTGCGGGATCGATGCCCAACCAGCTGAGCCACACTGGCCAGGGCTAATGAATCAATATTTACCCTGGGTGTTGTTGAGTTTGGAATCTCTAGGCAGTATCCTGGAGAATTTGTACTTGTGTTTCTATGGGAAGTCATTGAAGAGTTTTCATTAAAGCAAGGGAATAACTAGTTAATTATTGAGAAATTTTAAAAAATGAATTACTTGGGTTGCAGTGTAAACACTGGATTGGAGAGGAGCCAGGAGATGTAGTGAAATTAGTTAGGAGGTTCTAGGTCACAGGATATGATTGACTTAGACCACAGTGGTGTTAGTGAAGGGAAAAAATTAGTGGATGAAAGTGGTTGATTCAAGAGTTGTTCAACTGTTGTTTCACAGAGTTGAAAATATGAATATGGTTGATTGAATATGGGGGCTATGGTAGAAGGAGTCCAAGATAACTAGTTTCTGGGTGTCATGGCTGTGGGTTACTAAGAAGTATATACTATTTAATTCTATTTAGATTTATGTACTTGTGATTGCTCGGGGGAGGGGTATAAGGGGACTAAATGGTAGTGGAAAAATACACTAAAGATTAGATTTATGTAATTGATGTTACAGGAATTTAAGATAAAGTATTTTCGTCAGAAAACCTGTATGTTCCCTTCTATTTAGTGGTTCATAAATAATTCAGTTCATACCTTCTAGATGATAATCATGAAGTATGTAGTTTGGTGTTGATGATAGTTTTTAGCATCTGTGATTTTAAAGTAACCAAAACAGGTTATAATATACATGAATGTTGTTAAAAATATATATTGATACACATCAATTATCACATTTATAATTTCTGTATATAATAGACCTAATTAAAATTTAACTTAATTGATTTATTTCATTTTTTAAATTAACACTTTTATGTAATGGCATTAATATAAATGGGCTTTGTAGTTTTGTTTTGTTTTTTAAATACTTATTTGAATTGTCAGCAAGTTTCATCCATCAGTCAGGATTTTGTTAGTGTGAATTGAATATTTGAGGGTTAGGTGTGTGTTAATTTCTGACTATTTACTCATACAGAAAGAACATAGGCTTAGGAGTTAGAAGGGCCTAAAGTTGCCCCTTGCTTCTACTAAGCATCTGTGTGACATTGAACTAGACATGATCACACTGACTTGTGTTGGTCAATATGGTGGTCGTTAGTGATATGTGACTGTTAAAATTGGAATGTGGCTAGTTCAAATTGCAGTGTGCTTTAGTGAGCATTACTCGAGGTTTTCATGTCATGATTTGTATTTTTTGCTTGATTTAGTTTTGCTTTTTCTTGCAAAATTAGAGATATAAAATTTCATCGTTGTGATTTTAATTTTCTTTTTTTTCTCATCTCATTCCTCTTCCATTTTTTTTCCCCCTATCCTGTGTTTATACTTAGTGCTTTCTGCTCCTGTTTTGGGGAAGTTACATCATTTTATCCTGTGAGTCTGCTGAACTTTGCC